TTAAGTTTCTAATTTTGAAATTTTTACGTACAGTTATTTATCTTAACACAGCGCGTTACTGTTACTTTAAAAAAAATCACAACTTTCTATTTAGCTTGTTCGGAAAAAAAAGTTCCAACACTGAATAAGAAAAAGTGATCGTTAATGGTATTGATTAAGTTTGATCGAAGTCCCCTTTTGGGCAAAAATACACCGACGCACTGTCCCGCAGATAAAATAAAAAGCTAAAAATTCAAATTCGAATCTAGTCAAAAAGTACAAATCGGCAATAATAAATTTCGGAAGAATAAAAAATCTGCGGAACCACAATCAGCGTTGACAAAAAGCCTCCTTTCGTTGGTCGATCCGCCGTAAATCGGCGATCGGACTCGAGTCGATCCTTGTAATGAATAAACAAAAGTTGAAAAGAAGTAAAAGTGTGAAATGGTAAATTGTTAAAAATCACGACGGTTGTTTAAATGAAAATTCAGTCTAAAAATGTGCGAATGAATTTTTGAAGCTTCGGTTATTATTTTATAAGTTTTTACTCCCACGCTTCTATTTCCATTCGATGCGTATGTCGTAATTTTTGTAGAACGCGATTGAAAAACTTACGGAAAATATCCTTAACAATTTTTATTCAATTTGCGTTACTATTTTACGAACATCGCGAATCGGCGTCAAATACGATATACAATGATTACCGACACAAGCGTATTTTTTAGATTTTATTCCGACAATTTTTTTTAAAATTGTCTAGCTTTTTTCAATAATTTTTTAAGCACTCTTAATATTATAGCTATTATTATTATTGAATGTGTAGTTATGTTTAAATATTTTAATGTACTATTAAAGTTATTATTATTGTTTAAAAATGTGCAAAATGACTGACTTTAAGTTTTTACTTTTAATTATTAATATTATTAGCTATTTTTTGAACCGCTTCTTAGAAAAAATATAACAAGTTTTTTAGTCATAGTTAAAGCTGGTATTTTTTTGTTAAAAAAAAATTTTTTTTTCAATTTTATATTTAAATTCTTTGGAGTAAAATTTTCCTCTTGAATTTTAATTAAAAAAAAAAAAAATATTTATTTGGACGTCGCTGGGATTCGAACCCAGTTTTGTCTGGTCAGTTTTAAATAACGTCTAAAAATTTTTTTCGGTCGATTTTTTCCATAAAAAATAAGAGATAATTTAAATTGCAATTAAAATTAGAGTAATTTTGCAGTTAAATACAAAATTTGGATTAAAAAATAATTTTTTTAATAATTAAAGATTCTCTGGCTAAAATTACGACTAATAATTATTTTTAAAATTTATAATTAAGTTTTTATTAATTGTTAGTTAATCCACTGTTACAATTATTAATTATTAATAATTAATTTTATAAGTTAACGTTGCGTGTTTCATCTAGACCTTGAATTTTAAAACCCGAGATCAAAATCCGGGTACCTTGCAAAAATCTTAAAAATACGCTTATGTCCCAAAATTGCATTTAAAAAACGTGTTTTATTATAATTTTTTTTGTTAATTTTTATCGGGTTAAAATCGCATTTCAACACTTATTAACACAAAAGACAACACCACATTTAACACTAACAAAAATAAAACCAAAATGCGTTCCAATATACCCGATAAATGACTTTTGTAATTACTAACAATCTTTAGTGTTATTAATTAGTTAATAATTATAAATATTATTATATAGTTATAAAAAGTAAATTTTGTAATAATTTTGTTTGTAAAGCATTTTTATTTAATATAATTAATTGTTTCGAAAATCTCATTAAAAGGTATGAATTAGAAAATAAAATAAAAAAAATTGTGATTTATTTAAATGTGCAATTTCGAAACAATTGATTTGATTTATAAATTGTTCCATTTTTATTTATAATCATAATTAATAATTATTATTAAAGTTGATTAATTGTGTTTAGTTAGCAATAAAAGTTTTTACGTTTAATTAACAAAAAAGACAAGCATCACGATCTATTTATGGATACGAAACGAAAAAAAAAGTGAAAAAATTGTAATATTAAAATTTTTTAGTTATTTACAATTTTTAAGCGGTCAAAAATATATTTTTATTAAAAATTTTTGTTCAAAAATTTTGTTCAAACATTTTGTTCAAGATTTGTTCAAAATTTTTGTTCAAAATTTGTTCAGAAATGTTGTTCAAAATTTGTTCAAAAATGTTCAAAGTTTGTTCAAAAAATTTGTTCAAACATTTTGTTCAAAAATGTTCAAAATTTGTTCAAATATTTTTTTCAAAATTTGTTCAAATGTTTTTAAGTACTAAAAACATTATATAGGTGGTTAAGAGTAAAAAAAGCGATAAATTTGTGTCAAAATAATTTTTTTTTTACGCGCGTAGGCTATTTTAACTTTCACCCGCGTGGAACCGGGTTCGAATCCCGGCCAGGGTAAAAATATATTTTTTTCCCGCTTTAAAATTTTTTTTCCATCAAAAATACAAATGGACAATTCGAAATTCGGACAAAACCGTAATTTTCGAATTATTGTAAATAGGTACTCCCAAAAAGACAGAAAAAACATTGACAAGCGATGTATAAAATTAAAAACTCAATCATTTGGTAATTTTACGAGTGAGTGAGAGATTATTATTAAAAAATTAATAATAAAAAAAAATTCCCAACGATATTGCGTAGCATAATTGTAAATTACACCGGTTAAAAATTATATAAAATTAAAAATATAAATTACCGTAGCTGCTCCAAATTGTCGGCGGATTTTCCTCAAAATTAAGGTTAACTTTATACGGTAGAAATTATTGTAAATATTAAATTAATAAATGTAAAAAACAAAACGTCGAAATGCAGAAAAATGTAAATAATTAATTATAATGAAAATTGGTGGAAATTTTGTAAAAAAAAAAAATTAATTAAAAAGGACGACAAAATGGTTGCATTTCGAAGTTAGAAAACCTGCCGCCATTTTGTGAGCCGCTTACGGGCATTTAATTTTAAGGTTAGGAACTAAAAAGGAGTGTTTATTAATTAGTAATTTGTTGCAATTGTCTAATGCGTGTGTATGAATGTATTAGGAGGAAAAAATAATAAAAAAAGGGAAAAATTAAAAAGAAAATTATGATAATAATTGTGTGTATGTTAACTACAAAATTAATTCTACCAAGTGGACTAGAATCGCAATCGATGGGCATTATTAGGGAGAAACAAAGCGACTAAAAATAATATTTCGGAGTCTTTTTTGACAAAATATTTATAAAAATCCGAATAAAGAGCGTCCAATATTTAAAAAAAGTAATTATTAAAATAATGATAAAAAAAAAAAAATTGTACCTATTTTCATTTTATAAATTAATAAGATAAAAATATTTATGCGACCTAAAATGTTTTAATTAATTAATGTAATAAAAAATAAATAATATTTAATTATTAATAATTGTGGGAAAAAAAAAATGAGGAGGAACAAATTAATTAATTGAGGAATTTTAAATTGTATCTATATATACGGAAGTGATGATATTTAATTATTGTATTCGAGTCGAATTATTGTATAGTTAAGGCTTAAAATTTGTAAGGAAAATTCTGAAATTTTTAGGGTGAAAATTAATTATTAATTATATTAATTTTAGTTATTATTAATTATTATTAATTATTAATTATTATTATTATTGCGGAAGATAACTTCTGGTGTAATCATTGTACATTGTATGTTGACAGGAGCGTTTCCTTAAAAAAACCTTTCTCTGGAAGTTAATTAAAAAAATTATACCGATTTTGAAATTGTTGTAGGAACAAAAGGGTGAACAAGGATAAAGTTAAGGATTGAAATTTTGAATATCGGTGAAATTTTGTGAATCGTAAGATAGTTTAAAAGAAATAAAAGATAAAAATTAAGATTTAAAGAACACACAAATGGAAAATGATGTCTTTTTTTGTTTTTGTAATAACATATGTATAATGAGATATAAAAAAAAAAAGTGATAAATATGTTGGTTTTATTTATTCATTTTTTTAATATATGATAATTTAGTGACTAATAAATAAATTTACAAATTCAATATATATTATAGCTTTCAATGATTTATTTTTATTTATTCAAATTAAGGGTCTTTAGATCCTTTTTTAATGTATATATTATGTAAGTGCTCTACTTCTATTCTATTCTAATTAAGAAATTACCTTGTATTTTGTGAACTATTGACATTTTTTAAGATATAAGCTCATCCTGATGTTATAATCATTGAGAGCTTTCATTTGAGTACCCACATCAATTTTTCATATATTTTATATATATCATATATATATATATAAATATATGAAAAATATATCAAAAAGGCATGTGGGTACGCAAATGAAAGGTCTCCATGAGTGTAACATCAAGATGAGCTTATATCTTTAAAAATGTCAATATTTAAGAAAGTACAGTGCAATTTAACAAAAGTAAGTAATTAATAAAGCTTAATTTTATTTATATATAGTTCACAAATCACGGCAGTCACATAGTGACTGCAAGGTTGCTAGTAATAATTAATGATTAGGGTGCTCAGTAGCCTATTGAAGCCGGCGCTTGCTTACCAAAGCATTAGACCGGGTTCGATCCCGGTGTAAGCTAATGAATATTTTCAATATTTAATATTAAGCTTCTCAGCCAAAAAAAAAATAAATATAAATTTATGAATAAGATAAATTAATGTAACCTTTTAAAGGTAAGTAAAAAAATTTTTTTAATAGTTAAAAATATTGTTTTTATAAATAAAAAGTTAATTTTTAATTGTCTTGAATCGAGAAGATAACATTTTATTCTTGATTAATAATTGAAGTTAATTTTTCTTGTTCAATTGCAAATAATCGATGTATGCATGACCTCAGAGTATCAAAACACTGCACAAATCGATAATAATAAAAAACGAGGCGAGTTTATCGCACTGGCAGTTTATTATCTCAATACTCGCGAGATAAATATGCTAAGTAAGTGTATTAGTAAATGTAAGACTTTGAACGAATGAGTTTGTTAATAAATCTTGGTGATTGATCAACATCATTTCATCGCGTCAGTCTAAATCGATCATGTTTAACCTTCTCAATCATCTCAGACATTCCTCTTGTTCTTCACTAGTGTTCCGTTTTAAGAGAATTGTAACCTCTAATAGTTATAACCTCAAAAGTGTGCGGGAACAATCGACCGCTAGAAGAACTTGCCTGTATGATTTCCATGTTCAGAATCAAGGTCAGCGCAAAATTTAAAAAAATCAATTTATTATTCTCTAAATTCTTCTATCAATGCACGGAAAAATGAAAAATTACATTATACTATAGTATACGTTGCGGGCGCAAGCGCGCGTGTGAATTTAGTATGGAATTATCTATATTTTCATGCTTATGATATATTCGACCAATCACGTTACGACTAGTTTGCTCTTACATGATATATTTTTATATTTTTCATCTAAATTATAAGAGTGGATAATGTGTCACATGGCGCTCCGTGATGAAAACTGGAAAAATTACAGTTTTAAATTGTAATTATTACAGATTTTATTAGAAAGCTCTAAAAATTAATATTCAAAATTTGAATTTCAGAAAAATGTCATTTCGAACTGTAATTTTTCTAATTTTGAATACGACGGGACAATTACTTATTACTATTTATATTGTAATTTTTCCGTCCAGTGTAGAGTAAGTATAATCCCATAATAAAATTAAGATGAAATGTATGTGAAACCAATCTATTTGTGATGTGATTGGTCGAATATATCATAAGCATGAAAATATATGTAAACACTATAGTCAAGGCGCGCGCAAATTTGAATTCTGATTATTCTTCTAAAAATTGTATCTTTAAAAGGAAAAATTGTGGACTTTGCCGGATGGCTATTGCCAGTCCAATACAAAGAAGCGATAGCAATTTCGCACCAGCACACCAGAACCCAGGCGTCGTTGTTCGACGTCGGACATATGCTCCAGACGATAGTCTGGGGCAAGAATTCAGGAGAATTCCTTGAGAGTCTAACCACTGCAGACTTAAAAAACTTGAAACCTGGCGGCTCTACGCTTACTGTCTTCACCAATGACCAGGGTGGGATCCTAGATGACCTTATCATCACCAAGGATGCTGAAGACCGCTTCTACGTGGTTTCTAACGCAGGTCGCAGGGACTGCGACATTGATTTGTTCAACCAACGCAAGGTTATTGTTCCAAACTCTATTCTTCCTCAAATTATTCCGCATTTTATCCAATATAACTTCAATTTGTTTCTTGTTTTACAGGATGAGTTTGATAAAAGAGGAAGAAGAGTCCAGCTAGAGTACCTGGACCCTCTGGAGCAAGGATTAGTTGCGCTTCAGGGTCCTGAAGCGGCAAAAGTCCTCCAAAAGCTGGTTGAAGTTGATTTAAATGAAGTTTATTTTATGAATTCTGTTGAGACCCAGGCTAAGAAGGTTAATGTGAGGATTACTAGGTGTGGGTACACTGGGGAAGATGGTTTCGAGATTTCTTTCAAGGGGAGACATGCTGAAGATATTGTGGAGATGATTCTAAGGCAGCAAGAGGTTAAGATGGCTGGTCTTGCTGCTAGAGATAGTTTAAGGTTAGTAGAAATATTTTTTTAAGAAGATAATTGATAATTTTTAATTAAATTTGTAGGTTAGAAGCTGGTTTGTGCTTATATGGTCATGATATTAATGAAGAAACAACACCGGTTGAAGCTGGGCTTACTTGGCTAATTGGTAAAAGTTTTTATTACACTTAAAACATCAATTTTTTTTATTAATAGTTTAAAATATACTGATAGAATTAATATTAGGGAGTAATATGATTGATTTTTTTTAATTTTGGCAACAAAAATATATATTGTTTGAATATTAAAAATATTTATTAAAGTGAAATAAGTTAGGGTTATATTAAATAAATAGTATTGATGGTAACAGAGCCGAAGAATATTTAAATAAATATTTTTTATTATCAAACAACATTTATTTTTTTTTTTTTTTAATTTGTTTAAAGTCGCATAAACTACTAAGGTCATGAGCGACTACGGTAGGGGGTACACTTTTGAGATTGGAACTCGTTTGTATTTCTTGGGCTGAGCAGAATAATATACACTTAAATATTGAAAATATTCATTGGTGTACGCCGGATTCGAACCCGGTCCAATGCTTTGGTAGCAAGGGCTGGATCCGATAGGCTACTGCGCGCCTCTAACATTTATTAATAATTAATAAATATTAATAAACGGAAAAAAAAAAAAAATTTCATAAATAAACCTCAAAAATCATACATTAGAATTGTAAAATTTACAGCAAAACGCAGACGTCAAGAAGCAAACTTCCCTGGAGCTGAAATAATAATTTCCCAAATTGAACAAGGAGTTCAGAAGAAACGAATCGGACTGACGATAAATCAGGGCCCACCGGCCCGTGAAAACGCTTCTATACTCACCGAATCTGGAGAGAAAATCGGCGTAGTCACTTCTGGAGGACCCAGTCCTACTCTTGGGAAGTCTATTGCTATGGGCTATGTACCTCCGAGTTTTTCAAAGACTGGCAGAAATTTATTAGTTGAAGTTAGAGGAAAAACTTGGAAAGCTACTGTAACGAAAATGCCGTTTATTAAACCTAATTACTACACTAAAGCGAAATAATATTTAGAAAAATATATTATTAATATTCAAGCCTGTAAAATGTAATTTAATTATACAATAATCACTAATATTAAATTATGATTAAAAAAATTTATTTAAATAAATATAAATTTACAACTTACAATATTTTTTTTAAATTAATTAAAAATTAAATAATAAAAATATTAAACTAAAGACTTAAATTTATTTAAATAAAAATTAATTCTATACAAATTAAAATTATTCTTTTACACTAAAAAAAAAGTTACAATACAAATATTAAATTAAAATTAATTATAAATTTACAACAATATTTTTTTTTAATTAATAAAAAATTAAATAATGATAATATTAAATTAAAAAATTTATCTAAATAAAAATTCATTATTTACAAATTAAAATTATTTTTTTTAACTAAAAAAAAAAAATTTACAATATTAATATTAAATCAAAAATAAATATAAATTTACTCCATTAATTTTTTTAATTAATAAAAAATTAAATTAATCAATTTTATTTAAATTAAAAAATTAAAATACTAAATTAACAATAAAAAATTTATTTTTCTTAAATAATTAAAATTTTAAATTCAAACATTAGCATGTTTTAATTGTTTCTCAACAATAATCTTCAACTGCTTCCGTAGCTCCCTCTGTGGCGTCATTTCACCATACTCTATAAAAATCCCGTCCTTTCCAAACTTGTGTCTTCTCATAACCTCTTCAACATCTTCTTCACTTTCCAATTTAACCAGCAGCGCCCTCTCTTTATCCTTATCCACAAAATACTTAGCCGCAAGAACCTTAATCTGCGCATTAAGTTTTAATTCAATAAACTGGCTAACCTGCTCCACAACCTTATCCTCGTGAACCTTCAAACCCTTAATAACAATATTGCTCATCCTGTCCTCCATTTTCTCGAGCCAGCCCCAGCCCGCCATTTCATGACTCCTTCTAACAATCTTATCCTGCTCCACAAACTTCTTAAAATTGAACCCAACCTCCCTAACCTCCTCAGAGACCTTATAGTCCTTAATCACAAAATTCTCGCCCTTGTGCCAAGTTTCTTGGGACTTGCACTCGGTAAAAGAGACCTGAGTCGTCTCCGACATCTTGTTGAGCTCCGCCATCTTCTTGCTCATCTCCTCCAGCTTCTCTTCCAGCTCCCTCTCCCGTTCCTTCAATTTCCTCACCAGCTCCGCGTTGACGTCATTCTTCCCCCTCTCTTCTTCCAATCGCTCTTCGGCAACCTTCGCCTTGTCTAAAGCCGCGTTTAGACGAACCTGAAGATCCTCCGAGTCGTCGTTAATCCTCCGGCACTTTTTATCCAGCTTCGCAACCGATTCGCTGAGTTTTTTAATCTCCACCTTCATTTCCTCCCTCCCACTCCTCATTTCTTCTTTTATTAATGTCACTTCTTCCAAAATCACGTCCACTAGATAAAATCCGTCGCTCTTATTAAAGCTTCGTTCTATTTTATTAACTTCACTGCCGATTTTTTTAAAATTACTCTTTAATTCTTCTTTGTCTAAATCTAAATCGTCACGGACTTTGTTTATTCCCGCGAGAATTAATTGCAATCTTTTTTGAATTCCGTCAAATTGATCGATTTCCATTTTAGTAATTTTTTTTTAGAAATTTTTACACCACGTGTACACTCACAAGGATAAATTAACACTGAAATATTTTATTTTATGGTTGAGTTTTACTTAACAGGACACTTGAGGGGGAAATGGTAATTGTCTATTGCAAAGGTAAGATTGTAAGCGTATACCTGCGTGAAAAGATAATGCAAAAATATGAATTTGTAAGACGGTAATTGTTCTATTCTTGGAAGAACGTCATTAGTAAATTTTAAATCATTTACTTTAGAGATTTTAAATCATTTACTTTAGAGATTTTTGGATAATATAATGCTTATTTAAAAAGGGAATTTTAAAATAAAATTTAGAATTTTAGAAGGCATGATTGATTTATTAGTTGAGATTTTTACTTTTACACTGATAGAAGGATTTAGTTCTATTTAATAGGATTTAGCTATAATTACTAAATAATTTAGTAGTAAAAATAAAATTAAAATTAAAAAAAAAAGTCGAAAGATTCATTTAATATATTTATATACAATTATCCCCCACGGAAAAAGTATATAGAGGCGTAGCCGAGTGGGTTGTATACTATTTTTCTTGCTTTCCAGCCGAAAGTACGCAACCCCGGGGAAGGGGTTTTGCCGGGGGTGAGGGGAGCGCCGCCCGACTTTTGTAAAGCTGAGGCGAAGCCGAGGTTTTACTGGTCGGGGCGGGGATAATAAAAAAGTAAAAATTAATAAATAAAAAAAAATAAGTTATTTTAAAGTTTATTAACAAACGCTCTGATTAAGAGAGATAACTTGCACAGAACTTGTCACAAATATTTAAACTCGATTTAATAACAGAATTAATTTTTTTAAGTTGATTAAAAATTAGTTTTTAATTAGACGGCTAAGAAAGATTGAAATTTAATTATTAGAAGCTTGTAGAGTACATGGATTGTTTTATAAACAAATCGCTTTACTAGCTGTCAAAATATAAAAGAAAGCAAATAAAATCTACAAAACTTTTATATTTTATTTTCTAAAATTTTTATATAAATTATTTGTGCAGTATTATTATTAATTAAATAGTTCATTAACAATAATCTAGTAAGAAATTATTTTTATTTATTTGACACTTTTTGGTTAGTTTATGTGTTGACATGTTACATACAGACGATGTTGTGACTGTTATATACAGTCGAAACTCGCTGTATAGGCCGGTCACACCACGAAAGTACGAAAGAAAGCGAGGCTCTGTGCTGCCGGCCAGAAAATATGCGTAGCGCGCATGCGTAGAGAGCCGGCTGAGCCGGCCATAAATGTTGCTCTTCCTGGAGTATAGTGCGTCCAGGATGAGCGTACTTTCGGCTACACGGAAAAAACAACAACTCACTGGGTGGTATGCATAGTAAAAAAAATTTCAAACTATAGTCAATATCTTTTAAAGTATACTGCATGAGTTTTTAACTGTACTCCGTGAAGTTTCCTATTTAACCGAGTATACTTTAAAAGGATATTGACTATAGTTTGAAATTTTTTTCACTATGAATACCACGGAGTATACTTTATGAGTATGTACAGTGAGTTATGTTCTTTTCCGTATACACTTCTTTTTAATTTGAGTGATAGAAATTTACGATGTTGCATCGCATAAATTATATTGTTTGAGTTCTGGTCCGGCACTACAATGTTTTATACTAAAAATTACTATGTTACCATTGTAATTTTTCATAGGATTTTCTCTCTGTGCAATAAATCGTTTGTTAGAATTGAAGAAAATATTTTTTTTTAACTAATTTTAGTGTATAGAATTCTTGAAGTTAAAATTGAAATTTATTACTTTATTTATGCCAAGGCCAATCGGCAAAATGGCCATATTAATATACAAATAAAAATAACATGTTAATAAAATACATTATTGATATTACAAAATTGATATAAGAAATACTGATTTGATAATTTTAACATTTCTAACAACTATTTTTATATTTTTAAATTTGGTATCTTTAATTAGAATTTAATAAACAACAGCTTATAAACGAAGTATAAATTACATAGAATAAAATTGTAGAATCATAATAAGATTTATTAATTAAATTTTAGATTTATCTGATAAGTTCACATGATGTGCTTACACATCCAATACATCAATTTTTATTTCCATGTCAAGCATACGAAAATATATATTTGCATATTTAGTGTCATTGCAAAGATTATTAATTTGTGCCTTTTTGAGGTTTCATAGCATTCTAAATAATTTATTATGATTATTTAGGCTGCATTTGAAAATTATCTCTAGATAGATAATTAAAAATAATAAACTTTAATTTGTAAATAATAATTTCGATGAAAATAATTAAAACTCTTAAATTTAAATTAACATTAAAATTTTTATTATTAAAAATTTCTATTTTTAATTACAGATAATTATAATTTTTATAAGTAAACTCAACCTCTCTGACTTAGTAGAGAGACTTAGTAGTTTTAAAAAATTAAAACTAATCCTTCGCTGAGCTAGATAGGTTTTGCATTAGATTCTTTACACGAAACCTGTAATTTACCCAGTCGAATTCAGAAAATGCTCCAGCATATCGTTTATCTTCGTCATCTTCTTGCTGAATACCTTCACAGGATTTCTTATCATTCTTCATCGTCGAAATCATCAACATTCTCTGCGTGTCTTCTATAAAAATCTTATTCTTCCTTTCTTTTTCCAATTGGCCCTCCGCGAGTTTCGCCTTATCTAAAGCCGCATTTAGACGAACCTGAAGATCCTCCGAGTCGTCGTTAATCCTCCGGCACTTTTTATCGAGCTTCGCAACCGATTCGTTGAGTTTTTTTATCTCAACCTTCATTTTTTCCCTCTCAATCCTCATTTCTTCTTTTATTAACGTCACTTCTTCAAAAATCACGTCCACTAGGTAAAATCCGTCGCTCTTATTGAAGCTTCGTTCTATTTTATTAATTTCTCTGCCGATTTTTTTAACATTACTCTTTAATTCTTCTTTGTCTAAATCTAAATCGTCACGGACTTTGTTTATTCCCGTGAGAATTAATTGCAATCTTTTTTGAATTCCGTCAAATTGATCGATTTCCATTTTAGTAATTTTTTCTTAGAAATTTTTACAACACGTGTACACTCACAAGGAATAATTAACACTGAAATATTTTATTTTATGGTTGAGTTTTACTTAAAAGGACACTTTTCGGGGGAAATGGTAATTGTCTATTGCAAAGGTAAAATTGTAAGCGTATACCTGCATGAAAAGATAATCCAAATAAATATATCATTCTCCTGTATAAACCATATATGCGGTAACATGTCACTGTAACCGAGGTCATTATATCCGCGACATTATATCCATATTATTATAAGTTAATCCTATGATGATGATGATGATGATAATGTATTCCAGGGGATGATGATATTACGTCGCGAATTTAATGTCGCGGATTCAATATAAATGTATATATGAAAATACATGTGGGTACCCACATTAATTTTTCATATATTTATATATATTATATATATGTATAAATGAAATATATATCAAAGATACAAGTAGATACTCAAATGAAAGGTCTTGATGATTGTAACATCGGAATGAGCTTATATTTTAAAAAATGTCAATAGTTCAAGAGATACAAGGTCATTTCTTAAATATTGACATTTTCAAAGATATAAGCTCATCTTAATGTTAGACTTATCGAGGCCTTTCATTTGAGTATATATATATATATATATATATATATATTAGGGTGTGCCAAAATGTAACTTCCTTGAGGGACCTCTTAAAATTGGAATTTTGAGTTCCGCTTTAAAAAGCAGCTCTGTTGAGGTCTTTCCTAAGATATAAAATATATAAAAAAAAAGCCATGTGGGTACTCAAATGAAAGCTCTTGATGAGTGTAACATCGAGATGAGCTTATATCTATAAAAATGTCAATATTGAAGAAAATACAGTGCAATTTAACAAAATTCATTATTTAATAAAGCAAAATAAATAACCAAAAATTTTGTTACTAAAATCAGTAATAGTACTCTATACTAAATCCTTCTATCAACGTACAATTTATTTTTGCATTGTCATTTTTAGGCAGGTATACGCTTACAATTTTACCTTTGCAATAGACAATTACCATTTCCCCCGAAAAGTGTCCTTTTAAGTAAAACTCAACCATAAAATAAAATATTTCAATGTTAATTTTTCCTTGTGAGTGTACACGTGTTGTAAAAATTTCTAAAAAAAAATTACTAAAATGGAAATCGATCAATTTGACGGAATTCAAAAAAGATTGCAATTAATTCTCGCGGGAATAAACAAAGTCCGTGACGATTTAGATTTAGACAAAGAAGAATTAAAGAGTAATGTTAAAAAAATCGGCAGTGAAGTTAATAAAATAGAACGAAACTTTAATAAGAGCGACGGATTTGACCTAGTGGACGTGATTTTTGAAGAAGTGACGTTAATAAAAGAAGAAATGAGGAGTGGGAGGGAGGAAATGAAGGTGGAGATTAAAAAACTCAACGAATCGGTTGCGAAGCTCGATAAAAAGTGCCGGAGGATTAACGACAACTCGGAGGATCTTCAGGTTCGTCTAAACGCGGCTTTAGATAAGGCGAAACTCGAGAAAGAGCAACGGGGAGAAAATTGGAAGAGGCACGTAGAGAATTTAAGGAAAAATTTGAAAGTATCTGAGCCAAAAGATGAAGGAGGTCCACAATATGATGGAGCATCGCCTGAATTCACCTTGGAAAATTACAGGACTCGTGTAAGGAATCTAATCCAAGAGCAATCTCGCTCAGAAGGACCTCAGTTTTAATTTTTTAAAACTACTAAAGTCTCTCTACTAAGTCAGAGAGGTAGAGTTTACTTCAAATAATTATAATTATTTGTAATTAAAAAAAAGAAACTTTGTAATAATAAAAATTTTTATATAAATTTAAATTAAAGAGTTTCAATTATTTTTATAGAAATTAATTATTTACAAATTAAAATTATTATTTTTAAATGAAAAAAAAAGTTTTGGTAATATTAAATTAAGAATAAAAAAAATTTATATTATTAAGAGAATAAACAAAATTTTGTGCCTTTTCAAGGTTTTATATAATTCTGACCGATAGTCAATTTATTATAATTATTTAGGCTGCATTTAAAAATTATTTTTAGATATATAATTGAGAAATGACCTTGTATCTTCGGAACTATTGACATTTTTAAAGATATAAGCTCATCTTGATGTTAGACTCGTCAAGACCTTTCATTTGAGTACCCACATCAATTTTTCATATATTTTATATATTTATATATATGTATATATGAAAAATATATGAAAAATGCATGTAGGTACTCAAATGAAAGGTCTGGATAAATGTAACATCAACATGAGCTTATATCTTTAAAAATGTCAATAGTTAAGAAATTATAGTGCAATTTAATAAATATCTTGTCAACAATTAACATTTTTTAAAATATAAGCTCATCCTGATGTTACACTCATCGAGAGCTTTCATTTGAGTACCCACATCAATTTTTCATATATTTTATATATTTATATATATGTATATATGAAAAATTGATGTGGGTACTCAAATGCAAGCTCTTGATGAGTGTAACATCGGGATGAGCTTACATTTTAAAAAATGTCTATTTAAATTTTATATAATTATAAAAACTTTCTAAAAAAATTTTTTTTTTATTAGAATAAAATTATATATAATTTTCAAAATAAATTTTTTCCCGCCAATAATTTCAAATTTTACTTAAAAAAAAAATAATAGAAAGACCTTTTGTATTTCAACTTAAGATGTCGCTAGTGTTCTTCCAAGGTCACTGTCATTTTCAACACTTAAAAACCTCACTTGTCAAATTTCACTTTAAATTTTATAAATTTATAACAATAACAACAACAATCAAAATAATATTCTATTTTTTTAATAAAAATCCAACTTACCCCATCTAAAATTTGTTAAAAACATTCAGGTAATTATAAATTCTTTTTAATATTTCTCATCTAACCTAAATTACAATTATTATTAAAATTTAATATAAAAAAATCTAGAAATTTACTGAAAATAAAATCTTGGCATATAATGATTATTGTATAATTTTATTTATAAATTTATAGAATATTATTATATATTTTTTTCTATTGCGTCAGGTTGTGACACAGTAATTCCTCAGCAATGGTGCGTCCATGGAGTTCCGATTTAATTGGAGTAATAAAAGGCGCTCAATTAGTCGGAAATGCATTTTTAAAACACCAAAAAGATTGTGTTAAAAATGTTGTCGTTAATTCAAGTGTAAAATCTGCCGCCGAGGCAAATTTAAAAGGAGTTGTTGAAAAATTTCGAGATATTGATCCAAGTAAGGTTCCAGTAAGTTTAGAAATTTTTTTTTTAATTATTAAATTAAATTTTTTAACAATATTATAATTAATTTATTTTGATAAATTTTTAATTATTAATTATTAATAAAAATTTTATTCAATTTAAAAATTTACCTTGTTAATAAAATTACTCAAAAAAAAAAAAAAAATTCTATAAAAATTATTAATTAAATTTTTTTTTTTAAATAATTCAATTGCTATAAAATTATAAAAAAATTTTTAATATTGGTCTACACGGAAAGAACAAGATTATACTGAGTGAAAAAAAATTTCAGATAGTAGCTAGTATAATCCAGATAACAATGAGTATAATCCAGATTACAATGAGTATAATCCAGATATTATTCAGTATAATCTGGATCATACTAGCTACCATCTGAAATTTTTTTTCACCTCAGATGTCACTGAGTATAATCTGAGATGGTATCCAGTGTCATCTTGTTCTTTCCGTGTACTTCAATGTTATAAATTTTAAATAAAAATTATTAAAATTTTAAATAAATTTTTTTAATAAAAATTTTAAGATGTTTTTTATAATAAAATTTTTTTAATTCCAGCAAAAATTATACACAGAGACAAAAGAGCTTCTGGATAGGCTCTGTGTAGTTGAAAAAGGAATCCGAGAGTATACAAAACAATCAGCTTTGGAACTAACAGGAGTTCCTTTAGAAAAAAGTCCTCTAGAAGTAAGCCCTAAATTAGAAGTTTTAAATCCCGCAAAAGACCCTCGAGAAATAAAGCCAAAAAATCAAGATCCACCACCATCTACTGAACCGACAGTCGTGGAGGTTCCTATCAAGTACAGCAGCGTCAAAGAAAAAATAGAGACGATTGGTACCTTGGAAAAAGCAATTCCTAAAATAGAGTTGAGCGATAAGGACAAACAACTGCTGAGAAAACTCGAAATTGAACATGAAAAAAAAATTGGTGATAAGACAGAAGGTGGAATAATTGAGCCGAAGGCTCAAGTAGTTTTGAGTGAGAAAATAATTGAACCAGATGTTAAGAGACCTGTTGTTAAACCACGAGTTACTGTAAGATTTTTTTTAGTTTAGTTTATTAATTTTTTTCCAACAAAAATTATTGAAATTTTTTTTAGTTATCAACAGAAGCAAGAGAAAGAAAAGTACCAAGCACTAGACTAGGAAGAATGGCGAGTTTTGCGACTCTAGGAGTTGGATTAGGTATTGGAACTCTTGCTGAGTTCAGCCGAAGAACTTTTGGTCTCAAAGAAGAAACTAGTGTTGGAAAAACTTTGGATAATGTTTTTTTGACTCAAGCTAATGCTGAGAGAATTGTTGCTACGCTTTGTAAAGTTAGAGGTTGATAAAATACTTATTTAATTGTTTAATTCTTTGATTAATGTAAATTAATTTGTTACTTTTTTCATTTTTAATTTATTTAATGGTTAATATTTTTTAGGAGCTGCATTAAAAATTGGACAAATTTTAAGTATCCAAGATAACAATGTAATTAGTCCAGAACTTCAAAAAGCTTTTGAAAGGGTCAGACAAAGCGCTGATTTTATGCCAACTTGGCAAGTTCATGTAAGTATTTATTTAAGTAAATAATGACTTTTGTTAAATTGCACTGTACTTTCTTAAATATTGACGTTTTTAAATATATAAGCTCATCCCGATATTACATTCATCAAGAGCTTTCATTTGAGTACCCACATGCATTTTCATATATTTTTCATATATACATATATATATATAATATATATTTTGAAGATATAAGCTCATCCCGATGTTACACTCGCCAAGAGCTTTCATTTGAATACCCACATGCATTTTTTATATATTTTTCATATATACATATATATAATATATATAAATATATAAAATATATGACAAATCAATGTGGGTATTCAAATGAAAGGTCTCGACGAGTGTAACATCAGGATGAGCTTATATCTTTAAAAATGTCATTAGTTCTCAAGATACAAGGTCATTTCTTAATTATGTGTCTAGACATAGAACATTATTATTGGTGTTATTATTATTATTACAATTATTTTTACTAATAGTTTAAAAGTAGGACATAATAATAACAATAACAATAATAATAATAATAATAATAATAATAATACTCCAAAATCTTAAAAAATTATTATTATTATTCCAGAAAGTATTAATAAATGAACTAGGTCCCGATTGGAGATCAAAAGTATCAACTTTCGACGAAAAGCCATTTGCAGCAGCATCAATAGGTCAAGTTCACCTGGCGACTCTCTCAAATGGTCAATCAGTCGCTATGAAAATTCAGTACCCTGGAGTCGCAGAAGGAATTCAAAGTGACATTGATAATCTGGTGGGTGTATTAAAAGTCTGGAATATTTTCCCCGAGGGAATGTTTATTGACAATGTAGTTGAGGTTGCTAAGCGTGAACTATCCTGGGAGGTTGATTATATCAGAGAAGCTGAGTGCTCCAAGAAATTTAAAGAATTATTGGCACCTTATCCTGAGTATTATGTTCCTACAATTGTTGGTAAATTTTTTTTTTTAATTAATTTAATTATTTATTATGTAAATAAAAAAAAATTTTTAAATTAAAAATTTTTTTGTTAAAAAATTATTTTAAAGATAAAAAAATATTTTTATTTTTATTTTTGTAGATGAGCTGTGTTCTAATCAAGTATTAACCTCGGAATTAATTGACGGAGTACCAGTGGATAAGTGCATAGAAATGGACATGGAAACTCGCGAGCACATATGCAAATTAATAATGCATTTATGTCTAAAAGAACTCTTTGTATTTTACTACATGCAGACGGATCCTAACTGGGCGAATTTTTTCTACAACCCAGAGACCAAAAAAATGATTCTTCTGGACTTTGGAGCTTGCAGGTCTTATGAAAAAAAATTTATGGATAATTATATTGAAATTATCAACGGAGCGAGTTATGGAGATCGAGATAAGGTGCTTAGATTGTCCAGAGAAATGAAATTCTTGACTGGGTATGAGTCTAAGGTCATGGAGAAGGCTCATGTGGACGCTGTAATGATTCTAGGGGAGATTTTCAGCGAGAAAAATGACGCTTATGACTTCGGTGGGCAAAATGTTACCAAAAAGTAAAAATTTTTTTTTTTATTATTATTATTATTATTTATGACCCTGTATCTTGTGAACTATTGACATTTTTTAAGATATAAGCTCATCCTGATGTTACACTCGTCGAGACCTTTCATTTGAGTACCCACATCAGTTTTTCATATATTTTATATATTTATATATATTATATATATATATGTATATATGAAAAATATATCAAAAATGCATGTGGGTACTCAAATGAAAGCTCTTGATGAGTGTAACATCGGGATGAGCTTATATCTTTAAAATATATATTATATATAAATATTATATATATGTATAATTGAAAAATTGATGTGGGTACTCAAATGAAAGCTCTTGATGAGTATAACATCAAGATGAGCTTATGTCTTTAAAAATATCAATATTTAAGAAAGTACAGTCCAATTTAACGATATTCATTATTTAATCATGCAAATTTTATTTTTTTTAGAATGCAATCTTTGGTACCAACAATTATTACTCACCGACTCTGCCCACCTCCAGAAGAAATTTACAGCTTGCATAGAAAACTCTCAGGCGTGTTCTTACTATGTGCAAAATTAAAAGTCAAAATTAATTGCAGGGACATGTTCCGCGATATTTATAAAAATTACCGCTTTGGATAATTTTATTTTGTATTTAAAAATTGTTGAATATTTTTAATTTTTTTTTTTTTAAATCAAAATATTGTAAATAAACGCTTGTAATTATATGTGTGATTTGATAAAATTAATTGAATATAATTTTCAAATCTCATCATATATAATTGATGAATTTAATAGTAATATAATTTATTTACCTTTCCTATATAGCAATCTTTTACAAGGCTTGCGCAAAACTGCTCTAAAGTTCGATAGTTGCTATCATAAAATTCTAAGAATCTTAAGAGTCTTGCTGCAATAAATCTGTCAGAAATAAACAAATATATATTAATTATTATACCATAAGCAAGTTATACACAATTCTTGAGTCAGTTTCTTGATCTTTTGCACCTACATCTTTAAATAAATAAAATTATTTATTTATTTAATTAAATAAATTTTTTTGATAATTTTATAAGACAATTAATTGAGTCTGGTAATTTAAAATAAGTTAAAGTATGTCGTATAGCGTAACATGAACAACATGACTAGATATGTATGTATGCAAGGCTGAAGTGGATTTTGACATGATACGAAAACGTGCATTGGAGGTATGGTTTTGATCTGGAATTGTATGTACTTGCTGTAAGAATTGTAATAATTGTATATTTTAATTTTTATGTTGTACAGAGCCTGAAGAAGCTGCGAAATATAGCGAAACATTGCGTTTACCAATGCTGTTGATGTATTGATGTTCATTTGATCCTTTTATATTTATTTTAATTTCAATAAAATTATTTAATTTTATATGAAAATGAAGTTAGCCGACATTTCAGAATTTTTAGAAGTTTTTTATTGAAAAAATTTCAATTAAACAATTAAAAAAAAAAATTTCACATGTAAAAAACTTGAAAAACTATGACTGCAATTTTTTAGAAATGTTTTTTTAGTTGTAATTTAATTAATAAAAAAAATCAAAAATTTTTAGACCTCTGCTAACTTCAGTGTCATAATTTTATTTCATTAAAAAAATCAATTTTAAAAGTTAAAAAAAACCATTCGGCAGTCGAAATGGAAGTAGATTTCATCATAAATAGAAAAAAATAATGGATTTTTAGTAAACCGGCGATTAAAAGCTTATTTCACCCTAACTTCGTTATTTGTTTACTTACTGCTGGTGTACAGTAAAGAAAAAAACAAAAAAAACGACTGCAATAGCAAATTTCATAATTGGCATAGCGGAATAGGACATAATTTTGGGACTACACATATGATATGGTACTCAAATTGAAGCTTATTTAAAGAGCTTTCATATGCAATTTACAGAAATTCGATAAATTATCCCATTCAAAAGTTATTTAAGTACGAAAATGAAGAAATGGAAATTTTTATGATTTTTCATAATTTTGAAAATTTTGAAATCATGGCATTTCTAAATTACTTGACCGATTAAGCTCATCTTCGAACTTGACCTCGGTATCTATCTGTGGAATAAGTATGTTGAGTTTGATAAAGATCCATAGTAAATTGGCGACGCTATCGTGGTGACAAGCCGCGTTATATCGTATATATATATATTTATAAACTTTTGAACCATATGTATTTTCTGACTCAACTCGTCGAGTTAAGTCGGAATATAGCAAAATTTTTCAAAAGTTTCGTCATGAGGACCATTGCAATAGTTAGATTTCTATGAAATCTACTAAAAATTTATTATTCCAATCTTAAATACTTACTTTTTATTCTCATAATCTTCTTATTTTTCTCCGCAAAATTATTTAAAAACACACCTTTTTATCCTGAAAAAAAAAAAAAAAAACAAAATTACCTTTTAATTTTTTAAAATTAAGGATCCAAAAAAACGGCAAAATTTCAAAATAAAAAATCTTTAATCTCTCTACACAAAAAATTAAACCCTAAAATTTAACTCCTGTTGTATCTATTCCCCCATCCGCGTTTATGAGTGTCCTTGTACTCGTCCATAGCCCTCATCCTATTCAAGTATTCCTCATCATCCTTCTCAGCCAACTTCTCCTTCTCCAGCACCTCCGGGTCCTCTTGTCCCTGACTCTCAGCCATATCCTGAAGACTCTTGCCTCCAACATTAGTCCCAGGAGCAGCCCACTCTCCATCAGCAATCTTCTTCTCATAAAACTCCTCCACAGTCATCACCGGCAGGCTGGGATACCCTGCACCCATAACCTGTTTTTGAAGCTGGTTCTTGGTGATAATAATCGGCTGCAATTTAGGAGGCTTGTAGTTGTCTTTCTTCTTATCCTCCAGCTTGCCGGAGGATATCATCTTCATCTGCTCCAAGATTGCCTTCTCTTCCTTCAAAGAATTAATCTCATCAACCGCCTCAAGCGCGTAGAGATTAATTAAAGTTGTAAAATAATTCCTTTTGGTCTCATCATCAAGGTTTGGGTTGTCCATACTCTTCTGGTAGACCTCCAGCTTCTCCTTAAGGTCCTTTTGCTCTTTATAACGCATTAACTTGAGCTTCCTGATGCTTACCATGTCTTCAATCTTCTCCAGATTGCTTGTTTTCTTCTTATCACCTTCTTTTTTATCATTATCATCATCTTCTTGATCCTTTTTAGGAATTTCAAAGTTGATAACTCCGTAGGACTTGATTCGTTCCAAAAAATCATAGAAATAAACCTCTGACACTTTAAGATAGTGCATTCTATTCTCCCGGTCGCAGATTTTTGATGCCAAGGTACCCAAAAATGCAGGAAGTAAAAAGTACTTGATATTCTCAGTAGGAACTTCGGTAAATTCTTCATTCCGGCTGAACATGTCGGCAATAGACACTAATTTTGTCGCGGTTTCGAAGATACTTATGCATTTTTTTACATCCAGCTGAACTTCTAGGCTGTTGGTGGCTGATTGGGTGTTCTGGATGCTGGTGAATAGTTTGTAACCGCTGTCGAATAAGTCTGATAGGTTTTCTTCACTTTCTGCACTTGCCATTTTTGATAATTGCTGATAAATACTGAGATACTTTAAGGGGGTTTGTTTTTACTGATAGGTTATGTTTGTTGTTGATGGTATTATTATTATTATTATTATTATTGGTAGTGTTAGTGTTAGTAAAAGTGTTATTATTATTATTGGTACTTACTGGGATGAAGTTGGCGACAAGTGAAGCTTCTGAAAGAAGTATTTAAATTTTATTTGTTAAATTAGTTTTATGGAGTTTATTATTGAAGAAATTAAATTTTGTAATTTATTTTTATTAATTTGAAATTAATTTAGTAGATATGACACTAAAGTTAGCGGACGTCTAAAAATGTTTAATTTGTTTTTATTAATTAAATTACAACTAAAAAGATATTTCTAAAAAAATTGCATTTGACTTTTTTACATGTGAAATTTTTTTTTTCAATTGTTTAATTGAAATTTTTTCAATAAAAAAATTTCTAACAATTTTTTAATCTCGGCTAACTTTATTTTCATGTAGATATTTAATTAATTAATTAATTTTATTTATTATTGAATTGTGGAGAAAAAAATTGTAATTAATTGAAAATTAATTTTTTTTTTTTTTAGTAACAAGTTTTTAAAAAATTGAAAATTTTTTATAAAAAGATTTATTATTATAAAAAATCCAAAATTTCGGACAATTTAATTTAATAAAAATAAAATACAATAAATTTACTAAATATTAACTTTAAAATTGGTTTTTTTTTGTCAAAAATTTAAAAAATACCAAATTATTTAATTTTTGAAGTTTGAAAATGAATTTTTATGTTATTTTTTCAAATTTTTAGAATTAAAAATTGTAATTTTATCATATTATTAATAAAAAACTAAATATTTGAAATTTTTGACACTTTTATTAATAAAAAACTAAAAAATTTTTAATTTTCTAAATATTAACCTTTAAAATAATTTTTTTCTATAAAAAAATTTTGAAAAATACTAAATTTTTCAATTTTCCAGAATTTTTAGAATTGAAAATTATAATTTTATATAAAATTATTAATAAAAATTAAAAATTAAAAATTTTTGACACTTTAATTAAAAAATTTGTGAAAACTAACCTTAAAAATAATTTTTTTCTGTCAAAATTTTGAAAAATCCTAATTTTTCTAGAATTTGTTTAATAAATTTATAAATTATAAAATTTTGACAATAATTAATTAATTTTGTTTACTAAAATACTTAAAAATTGAAATTTTTTACAATACTTTATCCAAAAAACGAAATTTTCAAATTTTGACAAGTAAATAAATTAAAAAAAAACTAAATAAATAAATAAAAAAAAAA